GTACCACCCTGCCCCGACAACAGAGAGCACCGTACGAGAGAGAATGTTTGAGCGATATAAGGCGTGTCTGTATATTGTATTATATGCGACTCAGTAGATTAGTAAATAAAAAAAAGACTCAGTAGATTAGTCGGTAGAGCACCGTGCTGTTAACATCGTGGAACCACAGGTCACAGGTTAGATTCCCGGCGGCGGATCTCTTGCTTACAGATTTTTTCTTGATCATCCTATATAGCTTGCACTTTATCAATGTCATACGTATCTGCGACGGACATACGACACTGATGTCTTGGTGGATCCTGACACAAAACACTTTCATGTTAAAAAATATCTGGAGCCCTTTCATTGCTCTGAAAAGGGAAAGTATTTAGCTGCGTGCATGTTGTGTGATAGCGCCTTCACGCCGTTCTAGCGCCCGTTAGCGTTCTGTGCGTGTTCGTTGACGCTCCTTCTGTGCTCACCATTCTTCCTCCGTGAGAACACCACCTGTCCGATGTCCAATAACGAGTCCAAAACAATCTCTACGCCATGAGGCAAAGGGGTGAAAAAATTGTGGAAAGCGTCGCTACCGACTATCCCGACACTTGGGAATGAGCTGGATTCGTACTCTGCAGGAGGCATCGGTTGTGGCGAAAATGCGAAAGGCAGCGAAAATTGTTGTTCTACCTGTCGCATTGCCCGCGGACGCGATACAAAACAGCTTCGATGCAAAGAATTGGACACACGCTGGGATTAAAAGCTGGTCCGCACATGCGATTGGCAATGGTCGCGTGACTAAGTTAGTCGCGCGACGACTGATCGCTAATGGTCGCAAATGGCCGCTTTAAATGCAAAACGCCTGCTTTGGCTCAATGGCTCGCTTCTTGGTTTTTCAGTGGCGCGACAACAGTCGCAAAACTCTTGAGCCAGTCATATGAGCAGGAACAGAACGTCATGATATTTAACGGGGCAATGACAATGGAGCGATGTACCAGCTGACGCGAAATATTTTTACATGATATGCAAGTCACACGCACACTTTCAACTTCGGTATGCGTCGGCGTTGGTTTGTATCTTTTGTTTGGGCTCAATATCTTGCGTTCTCTTTTCAGTTAACGCATGTGTTCCCATGAACAATGATATCGTATCATTAGCGAAGGCAACCGGGCAGAAGCAAGAACTACTTTTGAGTGAAACATTTCGCAATTCTGGCGTGAGAACCGGCATACATCAAAATATGTTATGCTAACATTGTTGGCAGGAGAAGCGTTCAGGCGTTTCTGATATTAGACATATCATTAAAAACAAGGAACAGTTGATCAGTGGCGAATAATATTTACAAAACAACTACTTCACACACGTCATTCCAGGGATCCTTTTGGTCTTTACATTCGTAGGTTAGAAAAAGCGTAGTAGGCCTAGTTTCTCTTAGAACTGATAATTTCCTTATTTTCAGAAACAAAAAGAAAAACAAAAGAGTGTTACTCTTTCTTAGTCCTGATTTGACACTGGGTAGCATACCAGACGTGTGCCTGGTTAACATCCCTGCCTTGTTGTTCTTCGTCCCTTCCTTCTTAAAGATGCACGTCCGTTCTTTTCTTTTTTTTGCAGAGTTTGGACCCCAATTACTCTCGAAAGAGAGTATGATCATATCCAATAGAGAGTTGTATATGTCGAAATTCAGAATTAACAACAACAGCAAAAAAGCTAAAAGAAAAGATGCTAAATAATATATGCTAAATAGTAAATATTGTCTTGGCAGAACAAAAAAAGTTGGGGTTCAGTATAGCAGTTCAAACGGTACGCACCTATTTCTTGTTCTAATTACTTGTTTTAATCACTCTACCTAGATTGTGGTAGAACTAACCTGTGTGCCCCTTCAGTGAAAGCTGGTATATCTGTGGTGAATGGTGCAGGAAGGATGTTGTGTACCTCAAATTATATAAAAAAATGGCACGCATTTCCGCATTTTTATCAAATAATCACATTGCTCTTCACTAGAGAGTTTCGCGGAGTAGCTGGGCTCTTGTAAGCGAACTATGGCAGAGCACGCCTGCCTCTCTTTTCTTTTGCTGCTACATGAAGCGAAGGAGTGGGTGAAAGACGAAGGGAAACAGTGGCACAAAATAAAGTTTGAATTATAGCATGTCGATTGAGTTACCAAACGTCCGTTGGCGTTTGTAGAATACGCGCTACGCGCTCCACTTTGCCTCGGGAGTTTCGAAATTGAGCAGCCCGGAAGCCCTGGAAGTAAATATTGTGGTGGTTTGTTCCCCTCCATTTCTTGAGAGAAAAAATGGACACTTATCCATGAAGATGCTTCTTCGCACAATTGCGGGATGTTTGCCCTGAACGTTTCCAAGAACGGTGGCGAAGTGTTGAGTTACATTGCAAGAATGTGCTGTGACTCCGCGAGCTCTTCCTTGAATTTCAGGGGCGAAGCTTCTTATAGCGGCACCCGTTCGTCCCCCGTAGTATGTAACAAGTATAACATTTTGAACTCCAAGGTGGTGCCGGTGAGAGACTTCTTTTGTGCGTTGCTGAACAATAAAAAATAGTGCTCAATGTACATGTCAATGGCTGCTAATGGGGAATGAGAGACAGGAGCATTCGGCTTTTAGTTAACGCGCAGGCTGCGATTACCATTAGCAGCCATTGGCATGTACATTGAGCACTATCTGACAAGAAAGGGTTGCTACGTTATACTCGCTGGGTGTAACCTCCTTAGCTTTAGAAAGGTTTAGCGAGCGTTGAGCCGCAGTGCCATGAATACAATGAACTTGTATTAACCATGAATGAACTCGAGGTGGTTAAAAATGGGAAGTAGATACGAAGCGCAAGCCGTAAGAAAGTAAAAGCCGAATTCTCCGCCTCTCATTTCCCATTAGCAGCCATTGGCATGTACATTGAGCACTATCTGACTGAAAAAGTTTGCTACGTCATACTCGCTGGGCGTAACCTCCTTGGTTTTCGAAAGGTTTAGCGAGCGTTCGGCCGCAGTGCCATGAATACAGTGAACTAGTATATACCATGAACTCGAGGTGGTTAAAGGTGGGAAGTGGACCCGAAGCGCAAGCCGTAAGAAAGTGTGCGTGTGCCACCTCTCGTTTAGTCCTTGGAATGTCCGCTGGATGGCGGTGCTTCTATATGGGGAATATATGATGAAAAGATGCGAGATGGTGGTACTTGGAGTGTTTAATAGATGGACGAACGGACACGTAGACAGATGCATGGATGGACGCATGAACGGACGCAGGGGCGGCTGCATGGACGAACGCAGGGACGGACGCACGAACAGACGCACGCACGGACGGGCTGATGGACGCATGGATGGTCACACTGACGGACGCATGGACGGACGGAAGCAAGAACGAATGGACGGACGAATTTTTCGCCCCACTCTCCATCATTCACTCCGTGGATATGCTGCCATTTTTTCCCCCGTCTGCTTGTCGGCTGCCTTCACCATTGAAACTTTCAATACAAGGAGAGGAACAACTTGCAGCATTAATTTCACAGGCATATGGTAAGCTGAAATGATCATTTCGTTGACTTATTGGCACGTTTAAAATAGTTCTATCTGTACATCGTAACAGAAGTTCGCAGGGATGAATCAGCTTGCACAGGACGAGGCAAAGTGGAGAAGATGCGTTTGCCCTGCAGTGGACTAAACCAGCTGAGAATGATGATGATGACATTTTTAGAAGTATACTTGTATAACACCTCACATATCGAACAAAGAGCATTGGCTAGCTACAGGCTAGCTAAAGTGCGTATAAAATTAGCAAGGCTAAATTAAGCAAGACTGGCTAGAGTGCGTATAAAATTAGCAACACGTAATAGGAATGATTCCAAAGCCTAAAATCGAAAGGGTAACGAAAACCAGCAGAAGCCTTAAAATTCTGTCAAACAAGAAAATGGGCCCTCGAAAATTGCCTTCCTTCATTCAACGTGAAAATCTGTCTGTTTAATACATGCAGGGCTGAATTTCCGAAACATCTATTTTGTAAGTGTGTTTTCTCATTGGTCAGGTGGCTTCGCTAATAATATGACCCAAATTTGATTAGCAAAAATATTCTATGAACAAATTTTTTATCGCAAGAAGTTTTCGTGAACGTGAACCGAGGAGTAATAAGTAGGAAATTTTAAACAGGAACCTAAATACGACTGCGCACTGCTCACGCTATTTACCAACATTCAGGAGAACGCAAAATATAACTAGGGAGGCATGTACATTTAGAAATACACGTTAATGTAGAAGAAAAAAACAGAAATATTCGCTTAAGCTTTATGACGGATAAACTGGATCTCAAAAAAAAAAAAACAAGAAAACCTATGCAGTAGTATTGAAAGTTGGCATTATTATTCTGAAGACTCGGTGTAGAAAGATCCTAGATTTATTGGCACGTTCGGGATGCGCTGACAGAAGAAAAAAAAAAATACGGCACTGTGGCCAATTTCGCTCCTCGTTTCATAACTGTTATACCATTTGTGAAGTGTGGTAGTTGGGCAAGTCTTATCCCTCCTTTCATGCTCCGAGCGTTATATCAGTGTGCCTAGTTGCAATAGCAGCGTCTCCCCCTCTCTTTTACATATTCTCATGCGACTGCGCGACTGGTCCAGTCAATCTTGAAGCGACTTCTTGTTACGAAACAATTTCGGCTTGGCCTAAAATAGTTGTCATTGCTTTTGCTTCGCACGATATGTGTGGCGTTTACCGGCACTATTGCGTGTGGCCACGAAATACCGCCCCCCATTCCGAACACCAGCAGTTTGGACGGATGTTCTGTTCCACCTCCCCCTTTCCTCCCACGCGTGTGACGTTTCCTCTCTTTTGCTTAGGCCGGGAACCCCCGCACCTCTTTCATTGGTCTACGCTGGTCACGTGGTGAGTCGACGTCAGTGGCGGCGATTGGTTTGCGTCGATCCGCGGTAGAGAAGGCCAAGTGCGCTACCCGCCTCTCTCTCTTCTTTCTTCCTTCTCCTCCTTTTCCCCCATCTTCACCCGGGACGAAGCGCAGCTGCGACGTGCGCCGCTTGTGGCGCCCGCTCACGTTATAAATACTCACCACGCGGGAAACTTTGCCGCGTGTTGAGCAGCGACTGCGACCGAAGAGAGGAGGGACACCGCGCAATTCGGTCCAGAGTCCGCCGAGCAAGGGAGACCCCCGCTACACAGCGTGCGCCAGGCTTCAGACGACGCGTCACTTGCGGACCCAACGTGAGTTGCGGCGCGAAAAACTTTGCTCTGACGCTAAACGTGCTTCTTCGATTGTTCGACAAAAGAAGTAATGACGCAGCGTGAACGCACACTTCATCGTGACCGATGCTTTTCGTGTCTTGGCGATGTCCAGAAGAAAACTTAGAACTTTTGTTTGTTGCCTCGATTCGCATGAAAAGTGTAGTTAAGGGCATTCTTCTGACCAACAGTTATTGCGGTTAGGTAAAGGAGCCTCGCAGCCATGGCCTTGCGTTTGAGCGCCTGCTTCGGCTGTAGAAAGTTTCGGGTTCCAAATGCTGTTTAAGCAAACTGTTGGTTAAAATTTGGCACTGGTGATGCTCAGCAGAAGCTGTAGGTTAATGAAATGCCAAAACACTTCTGAAAACACCCAGTGACCATAGTCTTGGCAAAAAAAAAATTTTTGCTCAAGGGGCATCTTGGCCGCTTTCGTATAATGTTCATGTCATACGTCGTCTTAAAACAGCTAATGAGCTGTGACCATCTTATGTTGAGGATATATACTTGGTACAAAGCATGGATGCCCTAAAACGTTGAAATGCCTATCTACTCCATTCGCTGGATTACTAGCCACCGGTACATCGCTTTGTCAGCCCTTTTCCATATCGGTGATCATCGGAGCCAAATTTTATTGAGCTTATCCAGTGGCATGACCACGTATTATGCTTTATACGACTGAGTTTTAAAGAAATGTTTTGCGCAGAACTTATGCTTGCATGGCAAATAATCTTTGTGGGTCAACCTTCATTATGTGTCATTTATATGGTTTGCGCGTAATTTTTGACAACATGCTAAACGACATAAGGAGAGTTTCAGTAACCACAGTACCAGTAAGAACACCGGGACTCTATACTCTTGCAATCGTGGTTGTTTATATATAAAACTCTTCGAGAAGAGGAATGAGTATTGATGCCTGAGCGTAGTATTACAATGCGAGAGAACGTACGGCGAACGATGCAAAAAGGGCCAGTACACTCCCCATATTGCGTTCACGGGACTACAGCCAACAAAAGGACTTCGTAACGTTCCGCATCGAAGAGCAGTCACTTCTTGCACTGGCATCATTTTGCTGAAGCGAAACTGCTTACTGTTCGGCTGTTTGCCGCCTTATTAGGCGACTATAGTAGCTTCGTAGAGATCAAATGCAAGCTATGAAATATACTGAAATTTATTAAATGACTAAAACGAACTCGCAATAGCGGGGCACAAATTCTAAAGTCCAGTGATGTCCAGTGATTTTGTGGTCGCTCACAAAATGGTGGCTGATAAAAGTCCCTTTAAACACCGAGCGTGCGGTGACTGCCAATACCTTCTTGTTCACGTTTCTCCCTTGTTTAGGCTAGAAAAACAACTGCTTCGACATTTACTATCCACGCCGGTCAATAGGGCTACTGAGTTTAGCTCCGACTAACGGAGCACGAATGGTGTAACAACATCGTGAGCGAAATAAAAGTGGCTTCTTGTCTTAGGTTCAGTTGCGGGGGTGTATACTTCTTATAAACTTTATTGCAAAGCTGGAAGTGTGCACACAACGCGAGTATGCAGCGTGTAAATTTTACATCACCACCCACCCCCTCCCCTCCTTTTCCTTCGCAGCCCTTCCAGCACTCGAACCACTACGCATCTTTCAGCTCTTTTCGCTTACATTTAACCATTAGTATGAGCTCCCAATGCTTTCCTTGAAATTAATCGTTGTTTTTGGTTCTGATTTGGGACTTTCATCAAAAACAAAGTATTGTCTCGCGGATATCTTAATTGCGTTTAACACCATCGTAAGTATGCGTTATTTTATCACTTGTTATCCATCTATTTGGATACATCACTACGGTGAAAAAAAAAGAACAGATGAAATGACTTTGCGAACGGGGGAGTAGCTTAAATGGTTATCAGTTTGAAAAGTGGACAGTAAAGATAAATTCTTCGCTTCTTCAGAGAGTGCCAGAAACCACTGCCTGACTTGGGAGCTTCTTCATAATATCAAATAACCAGAAAATCAGAAGCCGATAGCACAAGGACGTAATGAAAAAGGTGCTCAAGAGCAGGTGATGGAAGTGGTTAGATTTGTGGCCCAAAAGGTGAGTTGATTGTATATGGATATTGTTCTGCATTATAAATTGGCAGCAGCAAGCACAGGAGCGAGTTAACTGGTGGAACATGGGAGAGGCCTTTGTCCTGCAGTAGACGTAGTCAGGCTGATGATGATGATGATGATGATGATGATGATGATGATGATGATCATGATGATCGTTCTGCACAGTATTGTAGCTCAAGCTTAACCAAGTAGAGTTATTTTGTGGCTAGCCTTATTAAACGAACACTTCTTCGCCTACTTTTTTCTAGCAGTATCCGACAGCCACTGTATAATGTCAAACACACAATCTGTGTCAATTAGGTTGAACATGGCGCAACAAAATTCAGTGATCTCTCAGTGTTAAGATTCCCGAAAAGGAACTCCCCACTTCATTTCCGGACTTAGCTTTTTTTTTTTACTTTTCGAATATCCCCAGGACGTATTTCAGTATAGCTTTACAGAAATAACAACGTGTCAGGATTCGCTTCGCTCATATTATACTGGTCCTATTTACCTTGGCGATAGCTTTAGTAAGTTAAGAATGCATAATTGCGCTTTTTTTTATACTGAGCTTCATGCCATGCCTGTCGAATGCATGCAAGTTACGATGATCGTTTCACAAGTGTATGTGAACAATATGCCACACATGTGTAGTTTTACACCGGGTTGCTCATTCTGTTTATGACTGTGTTATGACACTTGCGATCTTTTCTTACCTTTACACCAGACTTGTACACATTGCAGAAAATTACTAACTGATTACGATTACCATTACCTCCTCTAAAATGTGATTGATTACAGCGGTCAATTGCAGCTACAAAAAGTAACTGCGCCATTACAGAGGTGTAATCGATTACATCAAAATTTCATTACCGTAACAAAATAACACTAGTTCACTAAATCTCAAACTACTACGACTTGCGTGGTAGAGAGAAGGCAGGCCTGTGTGATACAGTTTTCCACCTTGTTAACTTCTAACAGGAGCTGTATTTCAAAGTTGTCGCCGATTCTTCCACGCTTATTCTTTTAGGCGTTGGAAAGGACATTGAAAACTCTCTCATTGCAGGCTAAGGAGGGGCGGCATGATAACGTAGGAACACCTTGCGCGCCATCTTGTAGTTGTGCAATGATTCGATGCTTGTGTCAGTGTCCTCTACGAAGCGTCCCGTTTTATCGGTTCTGGCGCTCGCCTTAGGCGTCGCAGGTAAAGCCAAAGAAAAGGTGAAAGGTTGCATCTGGAGGCACCTTCATCCTGTCAGATGAAGAGGTTCTACAAAGCAGTCGCATATATTTCGGGACAACTGCCCTGGAAGACTTGTTACAACTTAATTCTGGGGGGGAAAAAGCGATTGATTATCGGTAGTCACTTACAAGAAATTGTAATTGAAATAACCAGTACATTACAGTTTCCAAAAAGTAAGAGATTATATTACAAAATTAAAAGTAAGTGTATTATACGACGAGTAATTGATTACTTTATCGCGTTATGTACAACTTTGTTTTACACAGATTTCTCCCTGGAATGTCTGTAAGGGATATTGTATGTGTATAAAATATTTAATGGGGTAATAATTATCAATAGCTGAAAAAAAAACTCGTAAGAACCGAAAAAAGGGAGCTTTTGTTTTTCCTGTACACATGTTATCTGAAAGGCTACGGGCTGTTTTTACTCATGTTTACTCCTGTTCATTCGCTTACAAAAACTATTAGGCGTAGGTCACATAATCTAACTACCTGAAGGTTTACACAACTCTTAGATTGCCTCGTCTCAAAATGAATTTTTTACTTCTAATACCTTGTGACAAGTGTTAAGTTGCTCTTCCATTAAATGATCTTGCGATTGGCAGCGTTTGCGCATTATTTAGCAAGTCCTAGCAAAACATGGAGCCCGTTTTCGAAAAGTGCATCTATAAAATCAGCTAGAACAAAGAGAACTATTTCAGTTTGATGAGAGCTAATAAAAATGCCCCCTCCCCCCTTCCATTTGTATTAATCGCCTCGCTTCATTTCGATTTCGAAATAGGCTTTCGCAACGCTGGAAAACGCGCGTGCTATTTATAATCGCATATCTCGCTGTCATGACACTGTGACGGAAGCGTCTCCTTTTCTCGGAGCTCTCTTGTAGCAACTACGAAAATATTATCCGTATGCGACTGTCTATACTTCGACGCAGCTGAAGTTGTAGACTCAGTACGTTTACACAGGCCGCGATTGTTACGAATGGGTCCCGGGCGACCGCTTGGAACATACGTTCTTAGCGTGTGTGAGGAAGACACGCTTCCTCGGCCAGCTTTCCCGTTCACGTTTTAGCCTTCTATATTGTATCGTGCCAGCGTTCAGCCTTTCCTGGTTCCTCTTTACCGGCGACGAGCAGTTCTTCTGGCTTCGATCGCCGACGCTGCCTCCATCAGGCCTTGAGTGAAACATCTTCGTATTTGCCTAATGCTTAGCCCTGCGCCCCGCCACACAGCCACTTCTCCATGATCCCCTGTATAAACACTCGCGCGTGCGAAACCGCATATCTTCGAACTTCTACGCCTTCCGCTGTGACGTCTCTCGGTGACTATTAAAGTTTAATTAAACTGTAAGCAGTACGTTGAATCCGAAGAGTGACGAAAAAACGAGCGTATTTGTCTGAAACACAGCTACGAAGCTATACGGTCAGCTGGACGGCGAGGTTAGTGGAGTCTTCACTTGGGCTCATTCGGGCGGACAGGCGTCGTTCTGCGAAAACGAAGTATTATCAAAAATAAGATCAAAAAGACCAGTAGAACATGCTAGAAAACGTTCTTAGACGAATGCGAAAGCTGTAAACGATCTTTCGTAAGGCAGATGGGTGCTGCCACTTCACACCGTTGCATGTTTTTTTTTGTATCTCGTTACGTAAATTCATAAGGCCAGGAAACGTCAG